AGCGGCCAGGAAAATCGGCGGCCCGACGCGGTGGCGGCCTAGCGGCCCGAGGCGGCGATGGCCTAGTGGCCCGACGCGGTGGCGGCTCGGCGGTCCGAGGAAGATCTGCGGCCCGGGTCTGTGGCGACCTAGCGGCCCGACGCGGTGGCGGCCCGGCGGCCCGATGAAGACCTGGCGGCTCGACGAAGGTCTGCGGCCTGGCGGCCTGATGACCGGGGCGGTCCGGCGGCCTGTCGACCTAGGCGAAAAGTTGGACGGCCTGGTGAAAGCCTGTGGGCCTGATGGCCTGGGGGCCCAGGGGGAAGTGACCAGCAGTGCAACGCACAGCGGCCCGGAGGACGCGCCGGCACAGTGTCACAGCGGCCCGGGCGGAAGAACGGCCCGGGCAGAGGACAGGGCCCATGGGATGTATTTGCCGGAGGGACATGGCCTGATGGTGAGTGCCTGTGGGTCCTGGAGGCCTGTACGACTGGGGTCTGGCGTACCTGGAGGCCTGCGTTGCTGGGGCCGGCTGATTTCGACTGCAATTTCCCCCCCCCTTTTTTATGGGGGTTAAAAGACCTGGGAACTATGCCGCCTCCTCTTAATCCAGCTAGCCCCCGACTGGGACCACCACCACGAGGACTTTCCCCCCCTCCCCTATTCTGCTGCTGGACCTCCTGACACGACTTCGGACTGTACTCCAGGAGGGAACTGCTGGTCCTGCGCGACTCCCCCATCGCGCAGGCATGGCCCAACAAGATTCTAAGGGCCGGCCTTGATGAAGGGGTCTGGAACCCCGAGAGGTGGCACTCAGCGACAGCACTGAGGGAGCTAAGAAGAAGGAAATTACGTGTCTTCTTAGAGGGGTGTTTTAATAAATTTTTAGGGGGTTCGGGGTTGGCCCGAGGGGAACTAGGGGAGTCCTCTCTGAGGCCAAGGCTGGTCCTGTCTGGGGGGCGCGGAGTGGTAAGGGAGGAGACTGGGGGGTTGGCGGAGGGTGGTGTGATAGGTACGGTCAGTGGGAGGGGCAGATATGGCGGGAGCAGAGGACCATATCGGGTTTTGGGAGCACGCACACGCTGCTTACAAGCTTGTGGGTGCTCCGATCCTCAGAGATCTACTCGACTTCCAGGGACTTTAGATCCTCAGGCCCGGGACCATCGGCTGATGTTGTGCAATGCCAGGTCCGTGGTGAATAAGGCCCCCCTCATCCAAGAACTCATTCACGAGGGGGGAGCGGACCTGGCAGGTATCACCGAGACCTGGTTGGGCATAGAAGGGGGAGTTCCCCTTGTTGATCTGTGCCCACCGGGTTTCCAGGCATTCCATCAGCCGA